CGGGACTGGACTATGCCGGTCCCTTTGAAGTAAAAAATAGTGGTGGTGAAATTGTAAAAGTCTGGATTGAAATATTTTCTTGTATGGCCACACGATTCACGCATTTGGAATTGGTACCGAGTCTATCAGCTAAATCTTGTATACAAGCCATGAGAAGATTTATATCGGAATACGGCAAACCAAAATATTTTATAAGCGATAACGGCACGCAATATAAATTAACATGTAAAGTAATACAAGATTGGGCAGAACAATGTATTTTCTTTAAAGGCCAAACGGAAGATAAAAATGAAAAAATAAAAGAAATATTGGAAAATAATAAGCCAAAAATTTGTTCTACTGAGGAAGATAAATCATGCGCAAAAACATTTGAAATGAAGGAATTTAACCAAATTGAATTGATTTCGGGAGAAAAATATTTGGTAAATGAATTAAAAATAGAATTGGAAGATGCAATAAAAGAATTTGTTTGTATTGGAAAAGGAAAGGAAATTACGGGTTCCCCAAGATATTGTAGTAAATACCATTGTTCCGAAAAGGGAACTAGATTTTGTTTTTACCCCAGAATTGAAAAAGCATTTTTTGTCACTCCGGAGGGAAGAGTAGCGATACAAGCATGGGGAAGAGTTAAAATAAAAGTTTATGGCTTCCCGAAAAAAGAAACGTCAATGTGTAAAGGCTGTGAATTAAAGTGCACAAAAGAGGGAATACAAGTAAAAACAAATGAATTGATAGGTGGAATAGAGATTTGTAATGAAAAGAAATGTTTTTATAGAGCCCTCCCAGAAAAAATCGAAAATATAACATTAGGCCATGAAATTATTTTAGAAAAATACAAAACTGACGTTCAATTTTATAAAAACGGTGAATTAATAAAGAGAATGAAAATAGAATGTGAAAAATTAAATATTTGTGAAATTATGAATTGTATTTTTTGTTTTGAACGTTTAATGAACCCGCATTGTTTCCCCGAAGTTTCCATGATATTGTTTGGGATTTTAGTTTACTTTTGTTCTAACTTAATATACATTGCCATTAAAATAATAATTTTGATTATGAAAGTGACATTCTGGGTAATAAAACATAAAATAAAATTTATTCGATTCATCGCAAGAAAAAGTAAAAGACAAGAAGAAATCAAAAGTGAAATTAAGCCAAAACAAACTAAACCACTAATAATAAAGAAAAAACGTCCGATGAAAGTGATTGTTGCTCTATTGTTTTTAATCAATTTATCTAAATGTTTTTGCCTCACTAGTTTACAAGCAACTGAAGAAAGTTGTGTTGTGAATAAACTCGGTGAAAGAAGCTGCTCGTTTGAAAAAATAATTGTTTTGACATTTAATCCCGAAGAGCAACAAATCCAAGTTTCTTTAAACGATCATACCGGAAAAATATTAGGGACTTTAACAATGGAAATTCATAAAACAAAGGCTTTTTGTACTAAAAGTTTAAAATATTTTTCCCGATTTTTCCATATGCAAGTTGAATCTTCAAAGAGATGCGCTGAAACAGGAAGCTGCTATGATTTAAAATGCAGCGAAATAAAATCTCATGAAAAATTAATTGAATTTAATGCCACGAATGATTACCCAGGAATAACACAATGTGTAGAAAGTAGCGGTGGTTGGTTTTCCGGATGTTTTTATACAACCCCGGCTTGTACTTTCTATAGATTTTATGCCACTCCTGTTGATGAAAGAATTTTGGAAATTTTTGAATGTCCTAAATGGGAGCTAGGACTAAGTATGAATTTAACTATTGACACAAACGAAGGAAAATGGGAAAGTGCCTTTAATCTAGTACCAGGAATGGCATCAAGACAAAGCAAAAATAAAATAGAAATAACGTTAAAAAGCATAACCACTCCCATACTGCCTGTTTTAAATAAAAATTTTGTATTTGATGGAAAAAAGGCAGCAATGCTAGATTATGAAATTGAAACGCAATTGCAAAAATTTAAATGCGCAAATAAATACCAAGCAGGCAATTTTAATTGCACTGTAGATCCACTTACCTGTTCGTGTCGACCAGCTGACGATAATGTAAATTGTTTATGTACAGAAATTATTAAAGATGAACAAATTTTTCAAGAATCGAGTAATCTCCCTTTCAATCATAACGGAATTTTAGTAAAAGTCGATCATGGAGAAATAACAGCTTTTCCCGATCTAACGTCAGCTGAAGTTCAGATAAAAATTGAGGGAATGATTTTAAAGACTGAAATAAGCATGAATACTTGTATAGTCCGAGCAAATTTGACAGGATGTTTTGACTGTAAAAAAGGAGCTCATGTGGACTTAGAATGTAAAACAGACTTTGGATCGACTCTTGCAAACATAATTTGCCCGTCGGCGAAAATGGCAATACCGTGCCGACCGACAGTTGAAAGAAAGATTTTGAGTATACATTTCTCCACGTCGGACATTGATGAGACGTGTGAAGTTTTTTGTGGCAGTTCACCAACAACATTTCAACTACAAGGCAAACTTGCCTATCCTGAAGCAGCACTGAATGATGTAATTTGGAACGAAGAATATGGAAACAAAACCGCACCACATTGGCACTTGAAGCTACCAAATATGGATATTACCAACCTTTTAAAATTACTCATTTTCCCGCGCTACCTTTTCCTTTTAATAATTTCAATCTTTTTACTCATCTTAATGTTTTATTGTATTCTACCCTTACTAACTCGCTTTATCTTTTCTTGTATCCTAAATACTTTTGTTGCGCGGAGTGTTGGAAATAATGTTAAATTACAATCAAAATATATGTGATTTATTTTTTATGATTAATTCTTTATTTTAAATTTATTTTTAAATCCAAAAATGTCCTTTTTAAATATATTTTCTTATTCATACAATTTCTTAAACTTTATTTTTATTTAACATTCTTAATCATTTTTGTCATTTCCCTGTTTATTTAAGCTTAGCTATTTCTGTTATTTTAGCTTCAGCTTCAATTCACTTTTAAAAATTCCCAAAATCCCCTTTAGCCTAATTGTAAAATTATTAAATTGAATAAATATTAATAAAGAAATATTCCTTTTTTGGATAAATTTAGAAGGGCTAGAAATAATTAAAAAGATATTGTTTCTAACACTAAATATAAGCATCATGCACTTATTAAAAAATTTTTTAAATACAAATATTAAAAAAAATTCGATAAGTAATTATAAATTTTAAGCTAAATTTATTGTTTTTAAATGTATGTATGCTAATTATTATTTACTTTTTAGCTGAAATTTATAAGCCTTACAATTTAAAATGGGTTATCGGATATCATTTGAAAACAGGATATTTATTAACAACTTATTGGATTAAACCTGATTACGAGGATGTTAAAAAATATGCCCCATTTTGGCATACTGACAATAAAGAAGATTTTCTTGTCCACCACGATAAAGACAATCATGAAAAACGAATAATTAATCGTTGCTCATTTTTTGGGTTTGAAATTCTCATAAAATTATTATTAAAATTAATTGAGGCGTAGACTCTAAATTATAATTCTGGGGAGAGGGGGATGAAATCTGGGAGAGGGGGAGAGATCAAATACATAGAATTATTTTGGAAAAGATCCAAACCTCGGCAATACCTATCATACACAATTTAAGGTATAGTTAAGTTTGTGTTACCCCTTTTTTCTTTCGGCTGTAGTGTAGTGTACCGGAGGTAAATGTTTGGGACATGACATGTGTCATTCGATTCGACTCAACGAGCTAAGTTGAACGGTACCATTCCCAATTTCAGAAAATGATTCTGGACCGAGATATATACCAAAATCGACCTCACTCCCCCTATGGGTTTTCAATATTTCGGGACCTATACTCGGTCCAAAATCATTTCCTGAAATTAGGAGTGGTACCGTTCGACTCAGCTCGTCGAGACGAATCGAATGACAATGTCACGTCCGAACTTTTACCTCGGTACACACACTACAGCCAAAAGAAAAAAGGGGTAACACAAACAAAAAAAAAGGGGTAACACAACAAATTCTATTGTCCTAAAATTGACAATAGAAAATACGAACTATCACACACAATCCAATAATAAGCTGTTTTTCACTAATATATTTATTGGAAACACAAAAGAAAATAAAAAAATAATTATTAGAAAATACGAATTGGATGAAAATGGCTTTCCAATCAACCCAGTTGCACGTACAGGGTTTACAGGCCGTGGAGAATTGTATCAATGGGGGCCAAGTACAGGAGTTGGAGCAATTTTATACATATATACCGAAACTACTAAAGAATTTAAATTTCTTGCTGTTATGAATGGAAAGCATGAAAGATTGAAAGGTCTAAAATAATTATTAATTAAATGCTAATTGCCTAAAATTGACAATTAATAGAAATACTTAGTTTACATAGGTATTTGGAGGTTTTCTGCCATTCTTCGATAAAGTTGAGCAATTAGGCAGGAACAACTTTGCTTTTTCTCTTCCGTTTTGTATGGAAGGAAAGAAAGAATTAGACTACCTAATCATAATAAATGCTCTTCAAAAATCCTCAATTAGTCCCAACTTTTGTGGGGTGATTAATCGTTAATACGTTCTTATTTTGAAAGATAATATATTTTTGCCTTCTAACCTAAAATTAGATACCGTATAACCTGTATTAATTGCCCTCCCTCAAATAATTACACTTCCATTAATTACCACATCCAGCGATAGATTGAAACAATAATTACCACGTTCGAATTTCAAACCTCGTATAATTACCCTCCCTCGGGTAATTACTCCCTCCATCGGAAGTTATAATTAGCCAGGGTAGTTAATAAAAGTTTTACAGTACGCATACAAGTCTTACTTGTAAGAGGAATTAAAAATAAAAATTATTCCTTATAGATAGAAGATATACTACTCCCGGAGGATATGTTGATCCAGAGGAACAGTTTGAAGATGCAGCAAAAAGAGAATTGATTGAAGAGGGTTTAAGTCATAAAAATATAAAGAAAGAAAAGGAAGCTGGAGTTGAACAACTGAAAAAATATATGGGAGATGGAGAAATAGTATATTATGGCTATAGCGATGCGAAAGGGGTGATAAATTTTTTAGCTAAAATTTTTTTTCTCAATTTAAATAATATTTGATTATTAATTTACATTTAATTACATTTACAAAAAATTTAATATTTTACAGAATAACACAGACAATGCATGGAACGAATCTATAACATACGCTTTTGAAATTAAGCCTGAAAATTTAAAAGATTTCGGAGCAGAAAATGGAAGTGATGCAGTTAAAGCAATGTGGATGACAATAGAAATTGATGAAAATTCAGATGAAGTAAAGTCCCTTCTAATCAACAACAAGGAGGATTCAAAAGTTGAGAAGGGAGTTGAGGAGGAGGATCAAACAGTTGAAGATATGGAAACAGATGAGTCAGTTGAGGGGAAGTCGACAGTTGATGAGAAAAAGTCAGAATTTGAAAAGGAAAAGAAGTTAAAAGTTCTTGAGAAGAAAATAAAAACTATATTCAGCATGGAGGAAAAAATAGATTTTGTTCTTAAAACGTTCAAGGTCGTTACTTTTAATTTTAACAAACTTTGATTTCGTAGTTTACGAAGTTATAAATCATTAAAAAATAATTCTGCAAAATTTATTTCATAAAATTAATAAAATGACATTTCAGACATGTTGGGTTGAAAAAGTAAAAGGGGAAACTGAAGAAGAGAAAACTGAAACTGAAAAAGAGTGCTTGAAACTGAATGATAAAAATATGATAAACATGGAAAATATTGCTCGATTTTTACTCGTTAAAATGTATAAGGAAGTCTCCTTCTTGGATTATCTCAAAAAACAACATTCGAATCAAGGAAAATATCAAGTTAAAAAAAGAAAGGCATCCACTCCGCTTGTTGGAAGTAAGTGTATTTTCTATAAAAAAATTATTTAAAAATAGTAGAAAAACGCCATCATGAAGAAGGAGAAGGAGGAGCGCATCACGATAAAAAGGCTCAAGTAGGAGGAGATCATCATCGTGGAGGTCCGCAAGGAGGAGGAGAACATCATGTTGGAGGAGGTCACCATGAAGGAGGAGTAGGAGATCATCATGGAGAAGCAGGTCACCAAGAAGGAGGAGGAAAAGGAGCGCATCAAGGAGGAGGAGGAGCAGGTCACCAAGGAGAAGAAGATCATCATGATGGAGGAGGTCACCAAGTAGGAGAACATCATAAAGATCTACGAAAAACGAGTCCACGACATAGTCCTCGATCAACTAAAAACGATTAAGAGTTGAGCTTATTTGAAAGAGAGTCAGTAAAAGATTGTAAAAAAAGTAAAAACGAGAGCATATTGCTCTATTGCATCTGTCCCCTTTTTTTTGTAAGATGTTAGAGTAGATGACCAGATGCTCACTAATTTCTTGTTTATATTGAGTTAGTATTCAGATATGTTTACGATTTTTAATTATCGAACTTTCTGGCAATGATTCTTGCTTAAGCCGACTGCTTATAAAGTAACACAACTGAACAACAATATACCAAAATATAGCAAGAAACGGGTTAAAATTAGCCCCGAGCGGTTACTGCGACATTCTGGCAGGTAGCGCTTTTGCTCTACCGACTGAGCTATTGGCATTGCCTTTTCTTTTACTAGATTATAGACCACATCCTAGTAAGCTTCTAACTGTTTGCAAGTTGGATCTCTCCTTTTTCATATAACACTATCATTTTGAAGTCGAAATCCTGTAATTTTTAATGTGCGAGGAAAATAAAAAAACTACAAAATTTCGAGTCTTATAGTGGATGTTTTATATAAACAAGAAAGTAGAAGAGCCGGTCATTAGAACACTTTCTTAGTTATGTACATATTATTCTTTATGTAAATATTATTTATTTTTCCTCCCATTCATCTATATATTTTTAAAAACATTTTAGCATAAATTTTTCAAAAAAATTTGTTTGATTTTAAATTTTAAATCAGAATAGAGAGTTTGACATATAGGGAGTAATAGGTCGAGGGGAATTTATTAAACTATAGTTACCGTATATCCTTTAATAACTACCCTGGGTAATTAATGTTTCGACCTTTCGCTGGAGGGAGTAATTAATTTAGGGAGGGTAATTATACGAGGTTTGAAATTTGAACGTGTTTTGGGGCATTTGCTTGGGGGTAATTATTGTTTCAATTTATAACTGGATAGGTTAATTAATTAAAGTAGGGTAATTATTTGAGGGATGCATTTAACAAAAATAGGCTTTTATTCGTTTCCAGAAAATTATACATTTTCAGCTTTAAATAAAACATTTTTAAAAATTTATTCTAAATCACAATCGGTTAATTAATTCTCTTAATACATTAAATATTGAAGCAAAAAAGAAGAATTTTTTTAAAAATTCATCTACCTTACCCTTTAAAAATTTTGGAAAAAAATTCATAAACAAAATTCATGCTTAAATATCCACTACTTTTCTGTTCACTTTGGACAATTTCTGTAGAAGGTCCAAGCTCTTTTTTGGGTTCACAAGTTAATGATGAATTGATAGAAATAGTTTGATTATTTGTTTCGGTCCAAATAAGGTCTACGCTGTTAATTATGGAGGATTTCTGAAATTGTTTTTTAATTTTTTTTGAATATTATAGAGTATGAAATAGGTATTTTAAAATGACAAACTCCTTTTATGACCTTGTGAAATTCTAAATTCAGGACTTGATATCAAAAATTTTTCGAGTTTGTAATTATCTAAAATTTTGTGTTAAACCAAAAATCATTGGAAATTTACAATTTTCTTGATTGTAAATTGGAGTAAAGCAGCTGGACTATAGCTATTTCTCTCCTTTAGCTAATGCAAAAGGTTATTCGGCGGCTGGGAGCAAACCAGCATCTTCAGTAGGGGATTGATGTGTTAGCCATTACACTACTCCGCCTACTGCATAGCCTTAGGAATTAAATAGCTATATCACTTTGGTCTGGAATTGCCGAAATAGATTTGAGGAATACAGAAAATTGGTTAAAAATATCAAAATTTTTGTTTTCTCGTTATAACGTTGAAAGAGACTTACATGATATTACTGTGAGTGACGGAGAGGCAACTTAATAAATGTTTTAAAAATCCCCTTTACTTACCCTAAATTCTGTTTTTAAATTTGTAGAACAAGAAGAAAATTTATTTTTGTAGCAATCCCCATTTTGTTCTTTATTTTCAATTTTTGTTCCGATATTATTTAAATAATTTCCATTATTATTAATTTTTAAAATAATTTCTTTTTCCTCCTCTCCAACATTTTTAATTAAAATTTTTTCCTCATTTTTATTTAATTTATTTTTAAATTCTTCTTTAATAAATAAATTAATTGAAATATTATTAAATTCTTTTAATTTTAAAATTATTTTTGCTTCTTCTTCCACTTTATTTTCTTTTTTGTTAAGATTACAGTTAATAGTTTTATTATTATTACTAAATTTAAGTAAATATTAAATTTAATTAAAAATTTTATAAGTTCCTAAAATTAGCTTAGAAGGTCCTTTGGAGTAAGTCCACCCTAGAGGATCTACACTCTGAGGACCCTGAAGACCTACTTCTTTTGATGAAGACCTACATCTTTGAATAAAGTAGGATATCAAGGGATTTGGATGTATTAAGGGGATATAGATGGATTTGTGGGATTTAAAGGGATAGATTCAGAGTTATGGTACATGCTCATGATGTTTTAAGGTCTAAAATATAGAACTGGGAACTTAAATGGTATTAATTTGGTATTAAATACTGAACTGGTATTAAACTCCATAGAGGTGGATACGTATCCCTTAATACACTGTCACAAAAGTATAAGCACCCCCAAAATTGCTTAGGGATCATGTATTTTTACAAAAATTTTGGGGGTGCTTATACTTTTGTGACAGAGTGTACCTCCAAATCCCTCTTGATATTCCCTTTAAAGAATTGTAGATCTTCAGGATCAATTAGTCTCCCCAAATATCTAAATACCCGGTTCCAGGCCCAACCCAGATTCTAACTTTATTTGTCATCCCCGAAAAGACGAGACAATAAAGATTTCAGAACAAAATATAACTTACTCTAAAGATGAACTTGGCTTTATTACAATTAATTTAGAAAGTCTAAAAATTCTCTTTTGTTGTTTCAATCTTTCATTATCATTTCTATCAACAACAAATTGACTTTTTAATTTAAAAATATTTTCTTTGTTTCTCTTAAGTTTTCGATTTAGACGTTGTGGACGGTTATTGTAATGTAATCCTTGTTGTTTATTTTTGTTGTGACTCATTTTTATTTGCCTGAAAAAGTTTGGAAAATAAAAAAATGTTTTTATGAAAGTTTGGAATTTTGGAAAAATATATTTAAAAATTTTTATGAAGAATAAACAAAGGAATGTTTTAAGTATGAGTAGAAGGGGTGCGGTTCTGGCAAACTTCGAATAACCGGAACTAAAAATTTTTGAGGGAGAACATCATTTGAACTCAATTTTCTACATTCAAATTTCTTTACATTTTTACCACGCAGACGAAAATTTTTGGAATTTAAGCAAAAGAAAGAATAACATAATAGAGTCGGTCTAGAATTATTGTTAGGTGTAGAGTTGTTTCGAAATTTCGATTTCCGATTTCCAAGTTTTTTTCCTTTCGATTTTCGAAGATTTTTTTGTTTCGAAACATCTCTGGTTAGGCGTTCTCGTTTTTTTCTCGACTTTCGAAAATTTATGGAATTTCCGAGTTCCGAATCCTTTTCGGACCATCTCTAACGAACAATAAATTATCTTGAGGAAATTTTAAATTGAGGAATTGAAAGCAGAATAAAAAACATTGTAGTAAATGAAGAAAAAATAACTAGAATTTCACAATATTCTCTCCAATATATTTGTAAATAAAAATATTTTTAAACATTTTGTTTCAACATAAAATGAACGGATTTCCTTTTCAATTGATTGATTAGAAAATGGTTGAATGAACAAAATAAAAAAATTTTCATGAAAAAAGAACGAAAAATGTTCAAAACATTTGTTATAAATTTTTATTTATTTTTTTGTTTATTTTTTTGAAGGTTTGGATGATAAAAAATTAAAAAAAAATATTTTTGGTTTAGGGGTTTTGCTTTTAAAATATGCATTAAATTTAAAATTAAAAATTTCATTTCTGTTTTAACAAGTTAATCTACTTTAAATAATTAAAAGGATGAAGGGGATAATTTCTTTCTTATAATCTCTTTCTTGGTAAAGTTGGGTGTTTTTAACGATGAATTATCTATAGGAAGTATTATATCAATTGTGTTGGTCAAGTATCTGTGGAAACTTAAAGTCAGGTGGAAACTTAAATCAGTCCAAATCTTGGACTTGTTTGATTTTTCAAATTTTTTGAACCTAGTATATTTGAACCTATAAAATGTGCGTAGTTACAAACTAATATTTAATTTATTTTTATTTAATTTATTTATTTGAGCAAACCACTGGCGCATTTGCGCATTTACAGTGGTGATAAAAAAATACAAATATATGTAATACAAAACAAAACAATCAAAACAAATTTAAAAAAAGGAAAATGTAAAAATGTCAATGAAATTAAAATAGGTATATATCTTAAATATATCTTAAAAATTAAAATAAATTAAATAAATTAAATTAAATAAATTAAATACCTATGTAAATTTTGAAGCTGAAAATGTTTTCCATTTTCTGGCTTAATTCATTTTTAATTCTTTTTTATTTTTCTGCTACATTCTAATGTTGATTGTATGCAGGGGTGAGCGCATTGCGTTTTGCGTTTTTTTCAATGAAATTAACGCATAAAAACAAAAAAATATACCCAATCTTTTTTGATATCTTTTTTTTGATATCTT